ATCCATGGAGACGAAGTAAGGAATCATGTTCAATGTGAGACAATGTTCCCTTCATCTATGGTTATTTAGGGGGCAGAAAAATTAAAATTTGAAGAGGACATGGAGATTTAAACAAAATTTACTCTATCTCAAAAACATCTTACAACAAAAGGAAAATAACAAGGTGAAAGCCTTCAAAGAACAAACATAAGAGCCAAAACTTAACAATAGAGGCTATAGATGGTAAAGAATAATTGACGCAAATCTTAACAAAAATCTCTACTAACCAAGATCATAGAAGGCTCCACCTGCTTAACTGCAACAAGCTTCTTCTCGAAACAATCAATTCTCGAGTCCAACACTCTCCTGTGTGTCCTGCAACTGTTTATCATTTATTATTACAGTCAAGTAAAGTATTAAAACTTGCCAAAGGAGAAGTGTACAACAAACTAGAGCTTTGTGATCAGGTATAAGAGTTGCTTTCAAGTTTTTGAAGCCGTTCATATCAAAATATTAGGCTCAACGGGGATCCCACCCAATTTAAGAATTATTACTAAAGTAATAATGAAGTATTACCTTTTTTAAAATGGCAGGATAAGAAAGGCATCAAAAACTCAGCGGAAACAGAGCAATAAAAATGTTACCTCAGATCCCGATGCTTCCGCTGTGGCTGCGGCGGTGACATTCTCCATTGTGGCCACACCGGCTGCAATTATGATAGTTACTTCCTAGAATTATTCTATCGAAAAAAATCTTCAAAATATATATTGCCTTACTACTGTAAAGTAGGTTGAGAGCTAGCTGGTTGTTAACAGAGTAAGAAAGTAAAGAGTAAATCAAAAGCATTCCAGTACTTACAGTCATCCTCTACCTCATCATGCTGTGGATTCTCGTTCTGAATGTCGCCATAAACCAAAAGATCATTCTCTATGTTAGGCAGGTCTTCCTCATAATTGTAGGGTCCACCTTCAAATTCAAGCCAATTTGGATCTATCCCGTAGTACGGTTCCAGCAGCTCGAGGTCGTCACGCAAGCTGAACAGTGAGTGTTACAAAAAAGTCAGGCAAGGGAACTATCCCTAGTGAATGAGAATGAGTTAATTTCTAGAGCAAAGATAACCGTATGTAGCAAGTAATTGGCTTGAGCATGAAATGAGGCGTCAATCACTGTGATCATGGTCAAAGGTGCGGATTGAAACGGAAGCGAGCGGGCGCGAGGCGGTCAGTGCAAGTATTCTGGCACAAGGAGTGTAATCGCGTCAATTCAGCTTGATCAACATTAACAGGTAATTGTTGAGGTATTATTTGTCTTACCGTTGGCTAATCGGCAATAACGGCTGAAACGGCTGAGACGTAGAGTGTTATTAGCTATGAGAGCGGAATCATTATTCCGTTGACCTTCATTTATACTCAACGACAATGCTAACTAAGAACGCATAATTCTAGGGTGTGTATTCAGTGATTGGTATAATGGCGGATTCGTAAAATGTACCTGAGTAATGTATACTATGTTGTGAAAAATGATAAAACATACATGATACGATGTGTAAGAGGACGTTCCGATGCATCATCGTGTCCCTGCAAATCAGAAGAGAACCTCATACACTTTTACAATGAATTATCATTGCTTATTACTAAGAGCTATTGAGTACGGAATACTGGAAAATTCTTACATTAGGAAGATGATCATTCCTGTGAAGCAGTCTATATCGTGCATTCCATTGTCGAGCCACTTCTTCCAGATAAAGCTGTCTGAAGGCCTCCTCATCGAATTCCTGAACCCACAAACATGAACCTGAACTTTAAAATAGGCACAGAGAAGAGCAAGGTACTAGGCGATAAGACGGAAAATAAAATTGAGGGGCTCAACAAACGTACCCAACGCGGAACCATGTTGACGTTCTTTTCACTGGAGTTATCCATTCACTTACTTTCCCTTACAGGTCTTCTGCATGCCCACATACACGTTTAGGAGCGGGAAAATCAATGATCACTGCTGCGTGGCCCGGGTGGATCGTGATATCGATTTGCCGTTGTGGAAAACGACGCGCGGGCGATGCCGTACATTGTCCGCGAAGAACCATGTACCGGCTACTCTCGCGGGGCAATCAATAACCGCCAGTTTTGCAATTCGCAGAAGTAGCCGAGCAGCCGATAACTATAGCTCCCGCATCCCTCCCGTATTTTTGACTAACGACCAATTGCATGTGAAACTGATGGCCCACACAATGTGACTAGTAGAATTGACTAACTGGTACCAGTCTCACGATAATTAGTTTGATACCCAGTAGTACTGCCTTCCCACCAGTCATATTTAGATTTCACCTCTGGACCACCTCTTACAACCGATTGCGGGGTAACTGCAGTTTATACTAAGGAGGAATAATCTCAAGGATTGTTTTAGAATCATCACCCAGTGTTATAGAGTAAAGAGCTTTACAAAACCCACAAGTTCAGTGTCATAGTCGTCTTCACGGGCCGGACTATTGGGAGCTTGAGTGTTCTCAGCCGACGTCGAGATACCGTTCACGAGGTTCTCACTTGGTGGGTGAGAATTGTTCTCGGGGTTTCCAGAAGGTGAATGAGAACGATTTTCAGCCATTCTGTAAAGCTTTCTGAAAAGGGAATTTATTGATTTTCCATGTTGACCTCAAGGAAAACTTCGAAAGATTCAATTAGCTCGAAGGTTTTGCCTACTCCGACAATGTGCACTAAGCAGGAATGAGCTATTGGGGATTTCACCTTAGAATCGAGCGCGAATGTCGAAAAATCGATTAGCACAGAAAAAAAACATAGAAAATAGCTGATACTCACTAGAAGAACTACTATGGCTACTGAAAACTGCCGCAGGCGCAGCTTAAACTTGTAAAACTTGCGCGTTACAGCCTAAGTACCAGTTACGTCTCTAGCGCGTAGCGTAGGAAAAAATTACTAGGATATATGAAATTTGGAAATACCAACAGATCAAGTTGCTCGCGTGGACCATTGCTGGCGTACTGTAAGGATCCTTACTACTCTTGACTTTCATTTATATGCTTTATCGGGCTAAAGCTCAAAAGCTGTTCCCTCCAACACTGGGAGAATCAATGATCTGGAGAAAATCGCCCTGAAATTTTGCGTTACCGTAAAAGCATTAACAATTAAGGCAAATTCCGTCATAAATCCCCAGTTCTCACTAATCTGGCGCCTACGGTGGATACCGCTCCCAAGGCAATAGTCTTGGGATCACCCGAGTTCATGAAATGAGGTGTGTCCAATGGGATGTAAACTGAGAGATTTGGCCTCACAGATTGAACTTAACTTTTCTTTGTGCTCTTTTGTTTTGTTTTGTAAAGTGCATTTTCGTAGTTAGATCGAAAATGGTTTTTTGCACATCAGCTCTGATTTTCGCTTTGAGTATATTTGTTGTACTTATTGATGCAATCCAGATCCTATTTATTTTTTCATCTATTATGAAGTAGAAGGTTCGAAATGGCCCAGGGTAAACGTTGCACTCAAAAATAATAGAACTCTGAATACATAACATCAATACGATTTGTTTGATAATGAAATAGAAGAAATTCATATAAAACCCCTTAAGAATTTGAGGCAGGCTTGGTAATTGCGGGGACGTCGACGTGTGCATACTTCTCCTATAGTCGCTGCGTCTCCGTCAGGACATGGAGAGATTGGTCTATAGAATTCGAACACTTCGTGAAAAAAAGGTATTTTATCGCCGCAAAGGCTTTCAGAGCTTACTGAAAGATAGACCAGGATGGACGAGTTGCCGCGCGATGCGTAAAATAGCTTTTACGCCGCGCAACTACTCCCTTCGATATAACTTTTCTGACTTGAAATACGATGATTTTTGAGCTGTGGTTCCTTTGCTTCAGTTTTTTTTTCATACAAGTTTCTTTTCCGTGGGCTTGTCACGTAATTTTCTCAATGTGTCGTATATCTGTCGGGTTTCTTTTGATCGTCTAGTGTCTCTTCTGTCTCACTGTGTGTGGTCCGCGGACTCAAAATTCGCGGGTTGCGGCACCTCGTTAAAGAATCTCTTTATTGCTCAGTTTTTTTGACTGTATCTTTTTTGTAGCTTTTTTTTTATTTCCTCAGAGTTCTTCATAATTTATGTACCGCACGTTTTCAGCATGTCTTAGTGACGTTCGAGTTACTATTAATTTCGCCTACTTACCTCCTTTTCTCTCGAACTGTTGTCCTGTGGGGATACATATGGTAATAAAAGTGCCAGGAACCTTTTTCAGGATCAGTTCTAAGTGAGTCATGGATAAACTTTTGCCTTTCCTCGCTTCACCTAATGGTGACTACTATGTTAATAACGAGGGACTGGTTGTGGTGAGTTTTTTCCTGCCCTCTTTCAGAGGAGTTCTTAAGTTTCAACTTTTGTTTTCACATTTTGCTGTTTTAGTGTTTGTCTGTCTGGCGAAATAGCACTCATACAGCGTCGTTAGCCTACTATCGCGTTAAAGTAGTTATTAGTGTACACCAGCAGACTGTTACTCTCTGTTTCTTTATACGTCTTGAGTTTTTCGATTACCTTCACAGGTCTTATAGGAACTGTGGGTTGCAATTCGTACCTGGTAGCTTTCACTAATAACATAATAGCCAAAACAAACACACCAATTAATTATAATGTTTTTGAAACTTTATAGAGCTTGTAGAATTTTGCTGTAATTGATGCTTTTTCGAGTGTTTCCTTCCTCCCTTCCTGTTAGCTATGCCTGCCTTCATAGTCCGCCGGCCGGGAGACTATTGATCACGGTGCACGTGTCCAGCCTAGCTCATAGGCTGCTTTCATAGCCCACCGGCGGTCGGCCGCGAGCGAGAGAGCGAGTGGCGGGTTGGCGGACTATGAAAGCAGCCTATGAGCTAGGCTGGACACGTGCACTGTGATCAATAATCGTACCTCGTAAACCGCACGCACATCATTAGGACGAAGGCGACAGGTATTTTTTAGTTTTCTTAGTGACTCTCTATTATGGCTTCTTGAACTGAACTGATCTTGAGCTACTTATTTGTCAACCAGAAGTTCAATTCTTCGGAGACTGCGGAGCATTTCGCGTTTATAGTTCCAGCGCTACCAAAGAATAGGTTGACTTTTCTCGGTACTCATCAGGCGGAATTCTCCTTCGAGGAATTTGAAAGCGGCCTATGAGTTCCGCTATTCAGCAAAGGAAATATCAAGAAAGGAACTAGCCCAGTATTTTTTATGTCACACTATTTCTCACGGAAGAGTGCATACCAAGCGATTTTCGTGAAATGTTCCACGCGACAGGATCTGCGGAGAAAGCTGGAGCTGTGTTCCCTGAATGAAGCTTCCATTTTTTATGTATTACTTTTGAGTCTTTCAGAATAAATTTTCGAAGTAGTCATATTTTGCATGATTCAGGAGGCCGACGATGATCCCACCACTGAGCGTTACATCCAGCTGATGTCCACTCCTGAAAATCCGTTTCGTCGCGTATATTTAGGAGATTTGAAGTGTCCGGTAATACATGACGCCTCTTTTTTGATTTCTCTTGCTCAGTCATGCTCAGCTACGTCAATCGGTACAGGTGAAAGTACTTAATTCTAAGTTTTTCCTTTCTCTGTCTTCGCCAAAGATCATTCATGAAGGATTTGATGTTGCAAAGAAATCTATAGTTTCTAGTAGTGTTGCTTCCATGAAGTTCCGTAAAAACCACTGCCGATTCGGAACTGTTCCGAACTGTTAGTAATACGAAGTCTAGCGTTTTTTGAAGCACCAGATTTGTGGTAAATGATGTTTCTTGAAAGTGGACTTGTTCATGAGCTATAGACGGTTGCACCAATATACTTGCTCCTACCTCTGTGATAATGAGATGAATAGCCAATGCTGGGAGGTAGAACAGGGAAGCCCTCGGATAATCTCATCTTTGTTTGTCCCAGTCAGTTTTTTGAGAAAAGTTTGAGTTAATGTTTCAGGGTGGCCAGAAACTCACCGATCTGGTGTCTTCATACTATGGCCCGCCCCGTATTACTGCTGCCGTTTTGAGACAGGCCATCATAATAGTATAACATGTTTCCACTTTTTTTCTGTAGCTTGGGCAAAAGTAAGAGCTATATTTAGACCTATGGTGAAATCCCATCCAAGCCAACCGCCCACGATGGAAATGCTGCTGCTGTCAAAAAGTAAGCAACAAATCTGTTTGAAGGCACAGTTCACCTTAAAAATGGTTTCTGAGATTCCTCCTCTCTATGAGCCTATGACCTCAAAGTTAGCCTTAGGGACATTGTTGGCGGAAATATGGACGATAGGGCGGAATACTGGCCCAAGAACTGGCTTAGCTGACGTGCACGCCGAAGGCGGACGAGTTCTCAAGCATTGTAAAAGCTGTGGAGGTTGCACCATTCGGCTCGAGGCCCACACCTTGCACACAGACAGCTGACTGCACCTCAGCTGTGCGTATGCAGTGGTGCGCATATTTGAACACCTCGTCCGAAAATCCTTCCATGCCGCTTCTGCCGTCACATTCTCGTCCAACCCCTGGATTCCTTTTTCCCGATCTTTTTGCAGCCTTATACTCTTCTAAATACACCAATTTTTTCTTTACCATTTTTTCTCAGTTCTAGACTATAACTTCTATTATTCGTCTGAAATTAGATACCCCAAAATTATCGTGGACTGTGCTTTTAAATTATGAACGTGTACCGTTAGAAGTAAGTCGGAGCATTCTCATGTATTACTATTAAATCAATCATCGAACCTTCAATTCTCATTTTAGAGTGTTTTCTCCCTGCTACAACTGCAAGTTCACTCTATAAACCCCACCATTCATTTTTTGCAATCATCTTCTGGATATCATTTTAATGTCATTATAGTGGTACTATCCCTTGCGACAAGTGTGCAAAGAAGCGGAACTCTAAAGGTTCCCCCTCTTCGACAACAGTTAAGAAGATCAAGGCCGAAGATGGTAACGGTACTTTGTCATTTCAATATTCTTACCATTTTTGAGCGTTGTGTAGCGTAACTCAATCGAGATCCGCCTTCAGAGGGAGTAAGCTGTTATAAACACTGCACCATACACAAGGATCGGATATTGTTGATATTGTTTCTAAACCGCCAGGGGTGAGTATCGGCTGGTCATGGCGCGAATTCCCGCGCGTAGTGATCGGCGCATGCGTGTCGTGCGGGTAACTGAACTTTTCCCCGATCGCGGCATTCTCCCTTGCGGCATGCGGCAAATGTCACTACAATTGCCGTACTAACCCCGCCTCCCCGCCAATCGATATGACGCAGTATTTTTCTTTGGTTGTCTCTCTTTTTTACTAGTTTTGGTCGTTCTTTTTCTTTCTTTTTCTTGTTTTTATGTTTATTAGACTTGTTCAATGAGGATGACTTTTCCTATATTAGCGACGATCACGACCGCATTGGAATTGAAGCGAGCGGCCAGCCAATTCAAATAATTAAAGGACTCCCTACCTCACAAATTGCGCGCTCCAATCTTTCATCGCAATCCTGCGGTACGCGGCGGGTGCGGCGTGTGCGACGCCGTCTTCGGGGAGAAGGTTCTAGACCCGTGTCGTGCGAGTGACACAATCTACGTGCAAGCGTGCCTTCAGTGAAATTTTGACTCCCTGCCC